TAGGTGTGTGTTGGTGGTTGGGGGAGGGGAGGGGGGGAATTGTATTACTGCGGTTTGTTTCTTTTTATAACACTTTTAGTTTCAGTTTTAGTAAGAGCTTTGCGGCACTTGTAACACAATACGGTAAAATATAAGGGCCGAAGATTAGAGGTGTGACAGAAGAGTAACAAACACAAAAACGAAGGAGAGATAAGGATGTTAGATATTTGATAGGAAAGAAGGAGCAAACTGCATCAGAGTACCCGTCAACTATCCACAAAGCACTTTTGGCATAATTCATCAAGTTGTGTACGGGTCAGGATGAAGATTAGACTATTTGGTCATAACAAATAAAGATTTTATAAAATCGTTAACCCAGCCACAAAGAATGGAAGTTGTTGACCTTTTTTAAGTAAGGATTTCAATGATCTTTTGACAATTATTAGGACAAGAAAGCGCTAGGATGTTGGCTATAAAAAGAAGGGTAAATCTGAAAAAGAAAACAAAAATCATTGCAACCTGCAGAGTGATTATCCATCCGTAGGGTTATAAAGTACTTTTAATATAACTTGTCTAGAAAAAGCAAGAGCTATGACAAAATACAGAGAGGAGACAGAAAAACATACCAATATCATCAAAGCCAAAAAAGGAAAGAAACATGGGATCGTTGAGCTGGAGTTAAATGCTAGTCAGGCTTGTTCGACGTCAAACGTTTAAAGTGCATAGATTTGAAAATACATGACTTTGGGCATAATAATTGAAACTGAGAAGACAAACAGAATAAGCTCCATTGGTTTTTTTTTGCTAGGAAAAGAGGTAGTAGCACAATAATGAAATATACCCCTCATACACCCCCCAAAAAACAAGAAATAATAATAACATTAAATGGCATTTATGCTGCGCATTTCCATTTTCTAAAAATTGCTCAAAGCGGATTACATCACAAAAGACATCACATCTTAACAATTAATTGACATATGTGTACGTAAAACACAATATTATGCATAGTAGTTAAGAATTCACAAGAAATTTCAAGGCGACAGGATATCTTTTAACCGTATAATACTTACAGCGTGGAATATAAAAGCTGTAGAAAATGCATAGATGAAGACGTCGGCGCACTTGATGTGAGGGAAGCCATAGCTGTCTATACCTTTGAAATATAAAATCTGTGGGCAAAATACACAAAATATGAACAAGATATAATTCATAATTAACGAAAGTGTCTCCTAAAAGCTGAACAGCCTCCCATAATCAATCAACAGCAAGAGAAAGAAAGAGGTGAAAAAAAGATGGAGTGTTGAAAGCAAAGCCATGTTTAAGTGCCAGCCCACAAGATAAGACAACATTTCGCTACCTAAAAATTACAAAGTTCTATCTGTTCAATGCCTAGGTTTCAAAAATTTGACGTAAACATTTTTGAGTTTCACAATAATTTAGTTATGTCAAGCTTTTCAAATGCAATTCTTTGAACGTCTTGATAATGACTCCGAATATTCTTATGATTTTGATACAGCAGATAGAGGATTTGCTTTCTTCCCTCATGGTCTTAGTAACTCAAAATGGCAATAAATGTCAGATAGAGCTTTGTAATTCTGAGGAAGCGATTTGTCAAAAATGCTTCCAAATCTAGAATAAAACAAGTGTATTTCTTTCAATTTTTTTAAAACATAACACAAACCCCATTGTGAAAAAAACCCAAACCCAGCTGTATCGTATAAGAATGTTCAGTTTCCACACCTCCACAAGTTTGGTGGCCGCGTAGAGGGCGATGGTGACGCTGCGGTAGAAGCGAAGGGACAGACCAGCGAGAGCGCCTGCAATAGCTCCGTGGATCTCCGAATCCTTGTTCCGCACCCATCTCAGCACACAGTTTACAGCCTGAACCACAGAGGAAAATTAATCTAGTTATGGGAACATTTTTATTTTCATGCATTTCTAAGTTTGACAAATATGAGGCCATTGTTAAGAGTAGAGCAAGAATTTTTTTAAACCCAACCACTACTCCTACTACTACTATACTACAACTACCACTACTACTACCACTACTTCTAATAATAACAATAACACTAATATCGCAGATAATTTCAGTAGTGACCACTCCCAAACAGTGCAGTTCTCAGCGTTATACAATACCTTCATCTTAAAACAAAACAAAAATTTGAAAGTAAAAGGCAAAGGCGCTGTTTCTCTCTTGCCACAAATTAGATTGGAAGTGCTCATGGGGGGGG